TAAGGCGTAGAGTAAGCCTTTTTAAATACAAGAGCAGTGTAAGCCTTTTTAAATACAATGGTAGTGTGAAATAACTAATTAACAAAATATCAATTAACTGGAATCGACTGTAATCAGTGATTACAACCTCGACATTTCTATCAACATCAACTTTTAAAATCAAACATCGACATTTCTATCTACATCAACATTTAAAATCTTGGTGGTAACGTTGCAAAAAAGGTAAGATATTTGTATTTTCATCCTTGAATCATCTGAGTTTGAGGATCGAACTTAAGATCTCTTAATTGTAGATATATGATAATTACCGTTGAGTTATGCTCGCTTTGACATTATACAAATTCTGTTATTCTGTTATTTTAAGAAAAATGATCTTTTATGACAACCATATTACTGGTAAGAAATTAGTTCTTTCATATTTTTTTAAGAGAAAATGTCTTAGTTTGTCTTTCATTACTTAATAACGTAGCTATGTTTTTACAAAGAAGTGCTAATTAACTATCAATTTAACCAATATTAAAAATTATCCTCAAATGTTAAGGGAAATCAATAATTTTAGAAAATTTTGATATTTCCCGACTCATCTTAGGAAGCTTAAACTATTTTTAAAATATTTTTTATTTAGGAAAATATTCTTATTTGCTTTTTCCATGTGTAAATATGCGTTTGAGATAAATCTTGGACTCCTGATAATAATCCGGCACCTTAGGACCGTTTGATAACCATTTTATTTTTAGTTTTTGGTTTTTTAAAAACAGGGTATTTGATAACTAATTCAACTATCTATTTTTTATTTTTCAAAAACCATTTCGAAATTGTATGTAAATTTAAAAAAGAAAAATTCAAAAACAGATTTCTTCTAAATACTCAACTTTTTTTTCTTTCTCATATTTATCTCTAAAAATTTCTTTCTCAGTCAAAATTTTTTTCTTTCTAAATTTGTCTCCAAATTTTTTTTTTATTTTTCTATCTCTAAATTTTTCGTATTTTTTTTTATTTGTCTCCCTCCCCACCCCACCCCACCCCCAAATTTTTTTTTTATCTCTATGTATATTTATTTTTTTTCTAACAGATTAGTTTCATTTCTCTCCCTAAAAATTTAATATTTTTTCGAATTTTTTCTATTTAAAATTGTGTCTTTTATAACTATTTTTTATTCTTAATATATTTTTTCTTCTGAAAATTGTATCTTATTTTCTCGTTCAATTTTCTATCACTGTAATTTTTATTTATCTCTGTATTTATTTACTCTCCTTGAAAATTATATTTTGGATCTTATTTTTATCTCTAAATTTTTTCCACTACAATTTTTCTCTTTCTTTCTAATTCTTTTTCTTTAACATATCTTTTCCTCTCGATTTTACTATTTTTTTTATTTTTCTCTTTTTGTCTTTAACTTTTCTTTCACTATTTTTTTTTTCTAAATCTTTAGAGATAAAAACAAGATTCAAAATATAATTTTTAGAGAAAATAATAAAAGTTACGATGAGATAAAACTGAACGAAAAAAAAATATAATTTTCAGAGGAAAAAATAGATTAGGAAGACAAAGAAAAGTTACCAAAGATGTAATTTTAGAGAGAAAAAAGTTCGAAAAAATATTAAATTTTTAGAGAGATAAATGAAACTGATCTAGTGACTCTTTTTTTTTTTATAGATGGATATTTTCACCAACAAACCGAATCGGTTGGGTTAGGTTCGTTGGGTTGTCGGGTTTTTTGAACACCTTTAATCATGCCAGATCAGACCTCCGAACTAAAGGGGCACTCAAAGAATAAATGATCCCGGGACTCCAAGCCAGCACAAAACACACAGGAAGCAAGAACAAAAGAATCCCAACGACATAATCGATCCCTCATTACCAAGACGATCACGCACTGGCAACCAAGCAATGAAAGAATGCTTCGGAATGTTCCCACCGAACCAAAGCAGAGAAAACCAAGGAACAGGAGGTCGGGTCGGCCGCAACACCCCCACGCACTCGACACCGAGAAAAGACCCGATGGCGCACGAATCCAAAAAGGCATATCAACACTCCCAACTAAAACCAACACAGATGAAACCTCAATGACCAGCTGGCGAAGATCAGCCGACCCCCGAGGCCAGCGCCACGAACCATCAGGAAATAGAAATAGGCAACCTTCACTCAAGATGAGCTTATAGTATCATAGATAATTTGATCACCAGATCTCAGATAAATCAGGCCCATGGGGAGCCAAGCATCATGCGACACAAAACAACGCTACCCATCTCCAATAGCAAATCGAACCAGAGGTCGAAAAACATCCTGAACAGAAAGAATATCCAGCCAACACCAAAAGAATTGAGGTGAGGCACGAACGGTCCACAAACAATCCCCACGAAGAATATAGGCCCCCACCCAAGCCACCAAAAGAGAGCCAGCCCTCGTAAAAAAAGCCAGAGCAACTTCATTATAGCGGCAAAATTCCACAAAGCTAAATGACGCACACCTAAACCACCCTCCCGCAAAGTAATACACACCTCAGATCAAGCCACCTTAGCCCCCGATCGCCCACTCTCACAACCTTTCCACAGGAAAGAACGTAGAATCTGCTCAACATCATGAACAACCCGAGCTGGAAGGATAAACACACTAACCCAATAGACCTAAAAGCTATGCAGAATTGATCGAATAAGCTGCAAACGACCAGCGAAAGAAAGCACCCGAACCGACCAACTCGGAACACGAGAAACAATCCGACTCAAACAAAGGTTGATAATCACGATGGGAAAGCCGACGCGAAAGGAGCGAAACCCCGAGATAACGCACAGGAAGAGAACCCACCGAAAAGCCTAAGAAAACTGCCAACTGCTCCACCTCAACATCAGGAAGGCTCGCCCCAAAAAACGAGCTCTTCCGAGTATTCGCCACAAAACTTGCCAACTCTCCAAAAGAGGCCAAAACATCCTTTACAAAGGATAAAGAACCAAGGTCACCGTGCAAGAAAATCATCAAGTCATCTGCAAAACATAAATGAGTAAGACCAACCCTATCACATTTATGATGAAATCGAAAATTTGGCGGCGACCTATTTAACATCAGAGACAACACCTCCATGGCTATAACAAAAAGATATGGGGATAGAGGATCCCCTTGACGCAAATCCCGACGGCCAGGAAAATACCCCTCAAGTGCACCATTCAAAGAGACCGAGAATATGGGGGAGGTAACACAAGCCCGAATCCAATTCACAAACCGGGGGAGTCCGAATAGCCAACAAATTAAGACCAAAAAGAAAATCCCAATGAACAGATTCATAAGCCTTCTGAAAGATCCATCTTTAACACACATTGAGACACTCTCTTATTCATATGATAACCACCCACAAGCTCTTGGCACAACAAAATATTGTCAACAATACGATGTCCTAGCACAAAAGTAGATTGATTTTGACTAATAAAACTAGGGAGCCAAACCTTCAACAATTAGCTAGTAACTTCGTAATGCATTTATAAAGTACATTACAGTAAGAGATCAGACTGAAATCGCCCATATTCAAGACGCTATGAACCTTAGAAATAAGCGTGATAGACGTTCCATTCAACCCCACGGTAAAAGTGAGGTGTCAAAAAGTCCAGCACAGTTCGACAAAAATCATCCCACAAACTTTAATTTTCCGCAATTGACACAGTATTTCCTTATTTTTTTGTCTTAATCTTTTTTGTTTTTTTGTGAAAAGTAGTCGGTACTTTTTGAGTTATTTATTTATTTATTATTTTACGGAAAAGGATGACTTACTTGTCTTCGAGAATAAATGGCAACAACTAACTCTCTCCAAAACCATATATCTTTTAAATCACAAATCATTCTTCTTTTAACATTTTAGATTTAAATACTTTATATTTTGTTGGATCTATTTTTCACATGGATTCATTTGGATTGATATCTTTAATTTTAAAACATTAATTTTGGTCCTATTTTTAACATTTATTCATTTTAGTCATTTACTTTTAAAATTACAATTTTTGTTGTTAAACGCTTTTAAAGGAGGATCAATTTGGTCCTTATTCACACCAAATTTCATATGGAATGAGAACCTTTTAATAAAAACTCAGGACTATATTTTAAGAAATTTAGTGATTAAAATATAATGGTAAAATTGTCGTTGAAAAGATGAGATAAAAATGAAAATGAAGATACCAAAATGATCACTTTTAAAAAGTCTAAGGACACCAAGTTATACATTTTGGAAGTATAAGGATCAAAATGAACTAAAATGAAAAGTATAATAATTAAGAACAAAAATAGAATAAGAACTAAATTAGTATTTAAAACTACTACTATTGAAAAAAAATTAATACGTAAATGATGAAATTAAAATTTTTAAAATACCAGAGATTAAATTAAAAAAAAGTGTGAACATTTATGCATGGTCAAGTGCGTTGCATCGGAGAAATGTCTCATATGAGATGATAATCCTTTTTCTCAGGTTGAAACATTGCATCAAATCAAACTTTGGCAATGAGATATCTTTCGGAAAGATTATTTCCCTCATTTCTTTCTTGGCTGATCCAATTAAATATTTGACAAATAAAAGAGAAATGAAAAAATAAAATTTTCTTTGAAAAGATTAAGAATTTTCAAATAATGGTAGTAATAACACTGTTGCTTATTATTAGAAACCAAATTTTAGGCTTAAAGATAAAACTTAGGCTCCTCTGACTCCATACTTTTGACACAATTAAATATTTGTCAAAGGAATGTTTTTTATTTCTCTTTCTTTGTTCTCAAATATTTAATTATGGTGAGGAAAATGTTGCTTTTCACCTTAAGGAACAAAATATTTTCCTTTCACAAAGTAATGAGTTGTGAAATAATTAATGGTAGTAAGGATAATGTTGCTCCTTGTCGGTGAAGAACCATTTTTTTGGTACAACATAACAATCCGTTGAGATCATTGGACTGATGAGCCAAATTTTATCCTCATCTATATATGAGGATGGATCAACTTCCCTGATTAACACCAGCTGAAGGAGAAACCAAAGCCAAAATTGGGCAGCAATGGATATTCTCTTGCTCTCCATTTTTCTCTCCCTTCTCCTTGCCTTCCTCCTCTTTCGACCTCATCGTCGGAACAACCTCCCACCGAGCCCGCTTTTTTCTCTTCCGATAATCGGCCATCTCCATCTCGTCAAACACTCCGTACACCGAACACTTCACAACCTCTCCCACAACTATGGCCGTGTCTTCTCCCTCCGATTCGGTTCACGTCTCGTCGTAGTTGTATCATCTCCTTCTGTCGTGCAAGAATGCTTTACGAAGAACGATATCATTCTCGCAAATCGGCCGCTATTGGACACTGCAAAACACTTAGCCTACAACCAGACCACCATGGCAGTTGCCCCTTACGGTGACCATTGGCGACACCTTCGCCGCATCGGCGCCCTTGAGATCTTTTCAACAACTCGAATGAATCTGTTCTTGGGGATTCGAGAAGGTGAAGTTAAACGTTTGATGCGTAAATTATGCGGCAGTTCGTTTGTAGAATTCACGGTGGTGGAGCCGGGGTCGATGATTTTGGATCTTATGTTCAATATCATTATGAGAATCGTGGCTGGGAAGAAGTATTATGATGACGACATGTCGAATGATGGAAAATCGAGGAAATTTAGAGAGGCGGTGAAAGAAACTATGGCGCATGGTGGGGCAACGAATCCAGGAGACTTCATACCTATATGGAATTGGATTGATCCTACTGGTTTGGAAAAGAAGATGATGAAGCTTGGACACACAATGGATGAACTTCTTCAAGAACTTCTTGATGAGATAAGGAATCAGAAAAATGAAGGCAATACTATGATTGAGCATTTACTTTGCTTGCAAAAATCTGAGCCTGAAAATCATAGTGACCTAATTATCAAAGGCCTCGTACATGTATCTCTCTCTTCCGTCTCTCCGTACTCTTTCTTTTCCATTTTTGATCGCACATCTTGAAAAGATAGGAGACCTAACAAGAATTTATAATATAAGTGGACTACTCTTTTCATTATTAATTGATTTTGAGATACAACAATATTGATAAAAAAGTACTTGCTTTATCTTGCAGGTCATATTAATAGCAGGAATTGATACGATTGGAGTGACGTTAGAATGGGCGCTCTCCCATCTACTCAACAATCCGGAGGTGTTAGAGAAAGCAAAAGCCGAGATAGATAATTCCATTGGACAAGAGCGTATGGTCAATGAAGCTGATTTGTCAAGTTTAAGTTATGTGCAAGGAATAATTTTTGAGACTCTACGACTAACCCCAGCAGCTCCTTTGCTTGTGGCGCATTGCCCATCTGAAGATTGTAAAATAGGAGGGTATGATATACCACGGGATGCAATTGTATTGATTAATGCTTGGGCTATTCATAGAGATCCTGAACTATGGGAAGATGCCACCAGCTTTAGGCCTGAAAGGCATACAAATGCAATTGGAGTTGACTCATACAAATTATTACCATTTGGTTTGGGGAGGAGAGCCTGCCCTGGAATGGGAATGGCTCAACGTGTAGTTGGCTTGACTTTGGCATCGTTGATTCAATGCTTTGAGTGGAAAAGAGCGAGTAGCTTATTGGTTGACATGACTGAAGGTGGAGGACTCACTATGCCCAAAGCTCAACCATTGGTAGCCAAGTGTAGACCACGTCCAATCATGAGAGCTATTCTCAATGAAATGTAGTTGAGCACAATATTTAAAATGGGCCTCTCAAGTAGCAAAAGAATGTAGGATATATATCACTTTATGAGATGGTTTAGGATGGTCAATTTCATAATCTGAAGCATGTTATGAATTTTTTGAAGGTGAAGTGTTATGTGTTTTGATTCATAAGGGTGAGATTGAACATGTATAATTTAATATGCATATTATTTTTGAGGCATAATGAAATTGGGGGTTGTGTTCTTTATGTATGATTATTTGGGTCTCAAACGAGAGGGTATTCTCAATTTTTTGAACTTAAAAAAAAAAAATCTAAACTCACGATTATAAGATCATAGGAAACTATTTATTAAATGATTAATTGGAGTTAAGGAGGAAAGAAATAGTTGGGTGGGGTAAAATGATAATATAGCTTCCTCCTATACTTATGAATAGCCTAATGAAAAGTTAATTGCAGATAATGATTATACTTTATGTTATCGAGTAAATCTGGACCATAGGGCCGAAAACCTAGGTTAAACCAAGCACACTGAACCCAAAGATTGAGCGCACTAGATCGAAGGTCGAATGCACATGAGCGATCTGTACTAGGAGAAATCTGGTAGAGGGGGCGCTAGCACCTTGAATTCGAATCCTAACACGCTCGAGAGAATTGCTCCAAACGCAACGCACCCTCTACTGGGGTAAGAGTGAACGAGAGTGTCGGTGGTCTCCCTATTCGTCTATCTCTCCATATACAAACGACACCAAAACCAAAATTGAGGTACATAAAAAATTCTTACGCAAAAAATACTTTTGTGTGAATCCTAATTTGAACAAGACATACATTGTGAAGCAGACTTTCACTAAGATTTTTGTAATTGCTCTACGTGTTCCATACCTGTTTATTCTCATCTTATTACTAACTTAAGGATCAGAGTGTAAACAACGTAGCGTTGAACTCGAAAACAGAAAACAAAACAAAAGATTTGTAACTAATAATTTAATTAGATTTGATTGAATAGTTTGATTTGAAAAATGACCAAAGGATTGAGATATCACGGCTAAAGGACAGTTAGACTTAAACTACAAGATTTTATGTGGACAAATTTACCCTCCCATCAAAATAGATAAATTTATCCTTATAAATTTGTGATGAAAATACCCTTCAACAAATCTTTAGTACACCTAAATTTTAGGAAACGAGATAGTAAACCAAAATTATAAAGTTCAAAAATTTTAAGTACGTTGAAATTTCAAAATTTAGAAATTTTGTAAGCTAAAATTTGTTGAATGCATACTTTAAAATAAAAATATATTAGGATTGAATCAAAATATAAAATGGAATAAAAAAACGTAAAATAAATTTAAAGAAGTGGAAAATGAATAAAGAATAAGATTAAAACTCAAAAATACTATTTTAAAAAAAAGGATGGAGTAGTTGTATTGTATAAGATGAAAATTAATACCATGTCAGGATCCATTATGGAAGGGAAAGACAACTTAAAAGACTCATTCACACTTTTGCCCTAACTCCTTCCTCCCACTTTTGCCCTAACTCATTCTTCCTAAAATCAAATAAAATTTGATTCAATCCTCAAGCCTCAAGTCTCGTGTGCCTCAAGCTTTCGACGTCCAGAACCGATAACCTCCCTCTTCGGCATCACTCAAGCCTCCTTCAATCTCAAGCCTTCCTTCGACCTCCCTAACCTCCGTGAAGGGTAAGTACCTACAGAACCTATAACCTCCAAATTGAAGCTTTCGAAATTTACACTCGGAACCCAAAACAACTCAGATTTTTAGGAACCCAGATTTTGTACTTTCAAATTTTGAAACCTAGATTTCGAAACCCATAACCCAGAACCTCCAAATTTCGACGTTCCTCCGTCAAATTTCGAAATCCTCCGTCAGCGTTGCTTCAATGTTCCTCCAGATTCAAAGCCTTCCTTCGGCATTCCTCCGTCAAGGGTAGGTAATTTTTTTTTGTAACCAACTGCTTTTTTTTACCAACCTCTGATATTCAAACGATTTTGTTGGACACAACTAATTTTGTAGGACACCATGTAGATCTGGTTGGTTGGGGGAGATTAATAAATAATAAAAATATTGTTAAAATTAGATTGCCATGTAGTTAGATTGCAAAAAATTTTAAATAACATGTGCAGGAAAGTATTGTTATTAAAGAATATTAAGGAGACACTTTGGGAGATTAGATTCCGAAACCAGCTTGAGAATATGTTTAACTTGGGTTTCCATGGTCACGAGGAATAAAAGAAAGAATAGTGGATTACAAAAAAAGAAAAAAAAAACGAGAATGACAGATATAAAACGATGAGGGGGTTCTTTGTATTTATTTATTGCCTATATTGTGTAAAGAAGATACATTTACTGAGGAATATGTTCAACGGTGAGGGGGCTCTTTGTTTCCATGGTCACTAGGAATATGTTCAACTTTGTATTTATTTGAAACATTTCCGCTGGCTGTATTTAATGAGGATTACAACCATTGGTTTTATTCATGCTCTTACTCTCTACTTGTTTATATTAATATGATGCATTATCTAAAATTTGACTGAAGATTTACTGTCTTTTATTGTTGTCTAAAGTTATTAGTCATGAATGTTGATGGATATTGGTTTTCTATATCTACAACTGTTTTTGGATTAGGATAACCCAGTCAAAATGGTCATATACTCTGTAGAAAACTATATCTACCCAGTTGTATTGAAATTTGTTGCTTATTTTGTGAGATAGGGTAGGAACTTCCTCATTTCCCTTTGTCAATAAACATTCTTTTGAAATCCTGATGTATTCATTAAAACTCCCTTTTAATGCAATAACATAAAATGCCTTCTTCAACTCTTCTTTAGTTTAAAAGACAGAGAATTCTTCCAATGTGAAATTAGAGTGAGCACAATCAAAGACAATATGGTCCATAAAGGTAAATTTCTTCCTCTTAAGGTAAACTGTATTCTGATTGGTGTCTGCACTTCCACTACCCCGTAGATGGTGTTATATACGGGGCCAGTAAGGTAAACTGTATTCTGAGCGGCGTCTTCACTTCCACTGTCTCCGTAGATGGTGTTATATACGGGGTTAGTATCCACAACTATGCAACAGTCGCTACACATGAGATCCGAAAAAAAAGGATATGGCCCACGCCACGTCCCTATCTACCGACAGTCTCATAATTATCAACTTGTCAGCACCATATCTAGAGATACATTCACTGAGTTGTTGTAGGGTGGATTAAATAGATTCCTTCTAGCTTCGATCATGTAAAATTGTGGCTAGGAATGATTGCATAGTGTTCCCACATTGATTGGTTTAATTCCTTAAACAATGTAACAAAAATGGGTGGGGATTGATGAAACTTTGTGTAAGAATATTAAAGAGACACGGTATTTAAGATTATTGAATGGAGTAGGATTTATTAACCAACTAGTTATGTATGTTAAAAAGAAATTAATAACATTTAAAAATAGTTTGAATGGTATAGGTAAATTTGGTGGTTTCATTATGCAGATTTGGTGGTTTCAATATTAAGTCGAGATCATCTTGATGGTTTGTGGAAAGATTTTAGGGGTTACGTAGAATTGGTAGTTATGGTGGTTTCAATATCAAGTTGAGATCATCTTGTTAGTTTGTGGGGAGATTTTAGGGATTTCATTTGACCATGTGATTTGTTGGATGTGGGAGGCTTCAAAACCCGGATGGTAAAATGGAAAAAAACTGCAAGGACAATATGGGTATGAAATGTGTGGAGGGCAAATATGGAATTATACATTTCCCCTAAATTATAGGAATCCAAATTGCAATTTAGAATAACTTTGACCATTTTTCTTATCGATAACGTCTACGTAGTCATTTCTAAGAATTTTCCTGATTAATTAGTCAGAGAAGCCCAATTGAGTTTTAAAAGTCCAATAAAATTGAGTTTGGGTGACCATGATCCATGGAAAAGCCCATAGATTTCTAATAAAAGTACACATGCATGGTAGGTCACCACCACTCTAATTGAAAGATATAATCAAAGTACATTTGTTTATTCTTTAGTTAAAATGGTCCATTTTTTTTTAATGATATTCAAATTCAAAGAGTTCTATTTACTGTCTTCTAAATTGACCATCAAAGTCATGTTTACATCATTTTTTATTTTACTTTCTCTCTAAGTCATGTAAATGAAGCACAATAATAGATTGCTTCCACTTGGTTGGCGCCCACCATAGCTAAGATGTTCTATTCATTTACATCACTTTGATATTTTCCGAACAATGACACACTTCGAATTCATACGAGAGCTATCTTCATCCATGTAACGTTATTGTCAATATATAATCATACTATTGGGCAGGAGGGCGAGGAATCAATCAACTTTATTTGAAAAACGCAACAGTTGACCTATTAGATGTGACTTTAGATACTTCATCATAAACATGTCTATTGATTAAATGAACAAAAAATATGTTTTAATATTAGAGTTTTGATATATAATTTATTGAAAAGTTTAACAATTAGGACTAAAATGATATTTTTATACAAAAGTTTAAAGATTGAAAAAAAAATTTAAACCTACACGGTACAACAATCATTTTCTCCCTATACATTCGTGTTTGGAATTTGAGAGAGTCCGTCCAGTAAAAAAAATAGAAAATAGAGGTAAAAGCAATTGATCAAATCTCTCCCCTTCCCCGCATTTATTCGAAGTATGAAAGTTGTCCACCAAAATATGTATATATCATTGACAAAAAAGTAGTATGTTCTAATCTTCATCCCACACCTGTTGTACCAAGAAAGTACGAAAGCATAAAAGGTTTTTTGTTTTAGTTTTCTACCGTTAACTGACTTTGTAGGGGAGAAAGGAGGGTATCAACCTTTTTAACCATCAACAAAAACAGTACTTGTTGTAATTCTTAGAAATGAAGCAAATGTGTTTTCCAAAACTAAGGTTTAAAAATAGTTCTCGAAATAATTTGTCAATTAAATGCGTAAAAAATAATTAAAAAAAAGAAACAAAACAACCAGCCATCCTTATTAACAATTATTTGTATCTAGTTCAATAGATAAGATATGATAAGATATTTATTAACCTTTTTGAAAGTATCCTACATTTTGAGAATGAAATTATTTATGATACTTCATTCTAGCTTTCTTTTTGCTAATGTCTTGATTTCGTAACATCAGTTTGGCAGTAGCCCCTTAACTCTATTGATCTTTTGGAGATGTGAGCTTTTGTAGTATCTTATA